TGTACACCCAGTGAATAATATTTAAGTTGATGAGAGAGAAATAACTTCAAAGTATATTCATTTTCAATACTTCGATTAATTAAACGAAAACATTCATCCAATCTTTGAGCCCCTTCAATTAAACCTAATCTTCGTTGATTATATCGAAGTAAAATATTTGTGTATTTAACGGATTCGTCATAAAGCAATTCTTTTCCATCGGCAGACATGTCTTTATTATCTTTTTTGAAAAAAATTAATTTAAATAAAAATTTATGCTAAAGGGACATGCTAAAGGGACATGATTAGGCGCTTATATCCTAGCCTTATACACTAGACTTAGCTCTACCTTAGCCTACGCGGCGCAAAAAATGGATTTTGCGGCGCCTTCGGCGTCACAAAAAAGTGCTTTGAGATGCACAAAATGTTCAGTGGAAACAAGAAATTATTAGAAAAGATTCATTTAGGAGGGAAATATGAAAGATTTGAGGACGAATAAATATTTTTTAATTTAATTTGGAGTGTACTTTTTATTTGCAAATTTTCTCCCTATGTACTTTTTAATCAAGATTTTTGTACTTATGATTGCCATTTTGTCGATCCGAGCCCTGCTATAAACTCTTATTTCAACTTAAAGTTTTTACCAGATTTTGTAAAAATAATAGCTATTAACAAAGCAAATTCAACGCTAGTTAATGCAACACGTTTGAAGTGAACGACAGATTTTGTAAATGAATAATCTGCCCATTTAAGCAACCTAAAAATTAAAAATATATTCCATATTTTCTCAATTAAAAATGAAATGAGGTATGACCAAAATAAGAACGCGGTAAATTTGCCAGACCGTGTAGAATTTTAACAATAAGATTAAAATTTTTAGTAAAATTACTAGAAAAATATTTACTTTTCATCATGTGAGTATTCACTATTATTCATAATACCAAGAACAGGCGTAACATTATCTTTACGTGTCCAGGTTTCAGAGTCTAATTCCCAAGCTAGGTAGGTGTTTGTAAATGTACGAAACAAATGCCAAATCTGCCTTAGATGTGCAATCTATTTTATAAAAATAAAAATAAATTTTTCTTACAAAGGGTAGACCCATCCAAAAATTTACTTATGGTCAGTGATAGGAAATTTTGAAATTTGCTCGTACTCATACGGTACTGATTAAGGTTAAAAATCTCTCAGAATCAAAATAGTAGTAAAAATTCCAAGGAAGGATAATTTTAATTTTTAGTTTTCAACTAAACTGAGAGGAAAGTTAGCCAAATACTAAATATAAATTGCTCTTATTACCTGATCAGATAAAGTCAATTTATCAAAAACAGGCATAGATTTAGCTATACCAAAACACAAAAGTCTGTCAACTAAAAAATATTTATGCCAGCGTTTATTAATCATTCCTTTATTTCTAAATGAAGATTCCCAACTATTTAAACCATCAAAAGTTATTGGAGTTGGATTTGGCTATAAATCAAAAATTTTAATTAAAAATTAAATTCTAATTTACCGAAAAATTCCCAGTTAAACGAAAAATATTAAAATTAGATGAAATTATTTCTTCAAACAAAATCGGGCCATTAAGGAATATATCATCCAGATCATTAAATGCATGCATAATACGTTTTTTGGCTTCAATTATTGGTAAAATTGAGTTTATTTTTTGTCGATCTTTGGTGGATATGTCGACAATTTTAGGATTCGAAAGCTTAAAAATAAAAAGTAGAAGGAATGTTGTATGCATGTTGCCTAGTGATGCTCGGGTATCCCGATCCCGACTCCCGACTCGGGAAAATTTCCCGAGTTTTTGGCCTCCCGATCCCGATCCCGACTCCCGGTGTCAATTCCCGATTAAGTCGGGAAATTTTTACACCCCTAAGAATGGATTTTTCTGACAAAATTATATTTTCATTTATAATAGAAAAAATGAAGAAATCTGGCCTCTTGGTCTCCTAAAATTCCAAAATTTTCGCCTGCGGCGCTGAAAACAGAAGAATCTGTGGAGTTTTAGTATAGAAGATTTCAGTGATTTACTAGGATTATGATGAATTTGAAGAGACAACGAGGGATTTGCAGTAATAAAGAGAGAGGTACTTTTCCGTTATGACGTAACCACCTAAATTAATGTTCAAAATGTCATATATTGGGTAGAAAAAGGTGCTGAGTCGAACGGTACCACTCTTTTTTCACGGAGATGCCTGTGGACCGAGATATAGGTCCCCGAAAATTAAAAAACGATAGGGGGGAGTAAGCAAAATTTTGGGGCGAAAAATTCGATTTTTCGAATGATAGCTCATCCGAAAGAGCTCCTCGAGCTGAGTCGACTGACACCAAAATCAGCTCGAAATCTTGATTTTGAGACGAGATGAACAAGCTCTAAATGGTCAACGTAAACTTATGGGGCGTAGACGAGGCGCACTCCCCCTATAGTTTTTGATCATTTCGAGCCCTATATCTCGGTCCACAAGCATCTCCGTGAAAAAAGAGTGGTACCGTTCGACTCAGCACCTTTTTCTACCCTATATATGACATTTTGAACATTAATTTAGGGGGTTACGTCATAACGGAAAAGTACCAAGAGAGATATCAATGGATGATTAATGTTGCACAGGGGGTGTTAATACTATAGACTTGGCTTATTTTTCAAATAATCGGTGAAATAAACTCTTAAGTTACCCTTAAAGATCGTTCACTATAGAGGGATATGAAGAGATATTTCACTCCAATGAGAGTCAAAATTTTTGGCTGCGGCGCAAAAAATGGAAGAAATCTAACTTCAAGACCTAAAAATTCTCAAAATTTTCGCCTGCGGCGCTAGTAAGGCTTCTTTACCTTACAAAATTTTCAATATTTTTGCCTATGGTGCAAAAAATCGGAATTTTTGGCGCCGAAGGCGCCAAAAATTTTTTTATTGCTAATTCCCGACTCCCGATCCCGACTCCCGAGGTCATTTCCCGACCCGACTCCCGTTTCCCGATTCCCGGGTTTTTTCTTCTCCCGAGCATCACTAATGTTGCCTAATCAAACAATTGCACATTCACAAGAATACATAATTAAGTGTTGTATAATATCTCTTACCTGCTCCCTGACAACTAATCCACCGGCGTCTACATATACCGTAAATGCTCGAATAATTACCCTCTTTAATAATTACCCCCTCCCTTTCCTTCTCTACATAATTTTGAAAATATTAAAAAAATCATTGTCCATTTTAATTATTGAAACATTATAAGAATCAATATCAAAAAATAAATGGATTTCCTCCTCAATTTATTGAGATATAGCCCAAAATTAGCCCATCCTCTCGATTAATTACCCCCTCTAGCGAGAGGTCTAAACAATAATTACCCAGGGTAATTATTCGAGCATATACGGTATGCCCCTAGAATTTAAAGACCTAGTTTCTACATCACCTTTTTTAATCCTCTCGTAAGGGGTGCTTCTATTAGAGAGCGTGCTTCTACTAGAAGATACACAGTATTTATATGTATGATGATGTAGAAAGATTTTAGAATAAATAGACTTACGTTAATTTCCTTCCTGCCTTCTTTCATTTCATCACGACATAGATCTTGACGTAAATATACAACATCTAAAATCACTTTTTTTTTATTAAAAAATCATTTTTAAATATTTTAACTAAAGCTCAAACCCGGGCCGGGATCGGATATTCCGGGCCAATAGCCTGGAAACCTGGTATTATCAGGGTTTTTTGTATTTTCAAGGTTTTGTGTTTTCGAAAAACCCTGGCCCGTGATTGAAAGAACACAAATAATGGTACTTTGTTCATATCCTGCCCACACCCTTATATGACTCAAAAATTAATTTTACTTTTTTAATGTCAATCATTTATTTTCCTCCTTTTTTAATACAAACATTTTCTCTTTCAAATATGGAACACCCAAAGACGCAGAGCCATAACTTACTTCAAGATTTTAGAACCTTTCAAAATTAATATTAAACAATTCCTCTAATCGAGCTAAAAAGATTGATACCAAAAATGAAAATTTTTCGGCTGCGCGCTAAGCCGCACGCCCTTTCGGGTGTCCCACATTTAAGGAGAAAATCATTGGCATTAAAAAGGAGGAAAATAAATTATTAACAGTAAAAAGGAAAATTAATCTGAGACTCACATAGGGGTGGGGGGGGCAGAAAAAAAAGTACCCAGATAAGAGTTCGGCAATTTGAAGGGTTTGAGCTCTAACTTTAACAAACTCAATCTTCTCATTCCAACAGAAAGACATTTTTCAAGTCTACATTTTCTACATTTTGCCAAATTTGTTTCGGATTTTCCATCTTTATTCTCATTTGACAATTGTTTTGGCAAACATTTACATTTATATTTGGATTCATTTTCGTTTTCAAGATAACGCCTTTTAAAGGATTTTTAATTATCATAAAGTCTCTAATAGAATGGCCGGCCATTCTATTTTTCCTCCACCTCCTCCAAATGAGGAGGAGGAAAAATGAGGAGAATCTAGTGGTAAATGGATCAGATTAAACTTATTCTCTTGTTTAAGTTTGGGCAAAATGGTTCTGAATAATCAAGGAAAAAAAGATGATCTTGTTTAAGATCGGGTATAAATTATCGGTAATCTTTAACGAAGAATTTTAGCCTTTTTGAGCTAAAAGGTGAAACAATTGAATAAGAGCAGAAAAGATAAAAAGCTGCGAAGGGAGAGTAAAAAGATGGGCTTTTATAGGCAGGTCATTTTAATTGGAATTTACATAGACAAAGGTTCAAAATAGCAGATGTTTGGTGACAACTAGTAAGAGTTAGAAAATTACATTTTTAGATTAAATAGTTGAGAAAAAACGACTGAGTTTTTTTTAATAATTTCTAATAATTTCGCGTACAAAACGCGACAGAGGAACGGAAACTTTACTTTTTCCGTACAAGAAGAAAAAGCGGACTGTGGGGAGGAGGTCTCTTCAATCTTTTGCTTTTAAAAATACAAAAGGGCCCATCTCTGGAGTAGTAGTTCTTTCAAGAAAAATATAACAAAAGTAAGAAATACCTGAAAAAAGACCCACAAGCCCTACATGTAGTAACTCCATAATGAAAACAAACATGTTCTTTTGTACCACAAACTTTGCATTGTTTAATAAAGTTTCTTTGCATTTTTAAAATTAATTGGTATTTTTTCTAGAAAAAATATAAATTTATTATAATGATAATAGGGTCACGTATAAATTAAAAATTTTTGGTAGACTGTGGAGAAGAGAGATTTCAATCTAGTTAGATCATACTAACCTGGAGTCTCTGATCTCCTTCCAACCTTCGCATACTTTATACTAGAGTTCAGTGGTATCGGGATTTAGAGAAAAAATCGGGATCGAGATTTTGGAATTCCCCAATAAACTCTAGTACACTCAATATTTCTAAAATTTGCACTTGCAGTGCTGAAATATTGAGTTTATGTCCATCAGCGCATGATTTACTTCCCCTTTCAGTGCAGTAAGGATGGATAAGGTACTTTGTGGGGTTGTGGGGACCTTAGAATACTTTACCTTAGCATACCAACCTTCGCATACTTTATACCCCTCTATTTTGAATCTCAAAGTAAATCTCGGAGAAATCAAAACTAATTTGGCTACAACCCTATATGTATATCTTGGCGGAGGGGGACATTTTGGACATTTGTTATAATTTTTATTTTCATTAGATATTAATAAACACTTTTTTATAGATTTTATAAAATCTAAGAAAATATTTGAAATAAATTTTATGCTTAATAAAAGTAAGGGAACTTTTGCCGCACCCTGTAGATATAAATAGTTTAATCAAAACATATTAAAAAGTTTCCACACAGAAAAAATAAATTTATTATCATTAAAAAGGGATAATAATTTAATTTAGTTTTTATTAGATTGTAAAATAATTTTTTTATATTTAATTAAATAAAAAAAATTGTTGGCAAAATTGTTTGTATATTAAATTTAAAAAATTAAGTGAATGACATTTGGTATGGCAGAATTCAGCTTTCATTTTAGTTTTTAAAATATCAGCTAAATAAACAAATTTTCTAAACTAAAATTAAAGAGAGATATTCAAAAGCTTAACTTGTCAACAACTTTTAAAAAAGGCTGATTGGATTTACTCAATTTAGTTAACGTCAAAACGCTCTCTCTTATCTTTTTGGGAGTGTAAATTATATTTAATAAACGAAATTCTATTTAACTTACATAAATTTAAATTTATTCAAGCAGCTAATTAAACTGAAAATTTAAGTGAAACGAAAATTAATTTTTTATAATCAATAATTTTAAAAAATAGTTTCAATTTTGGAATTTTAAATGAATTAATTAAGCTAAATGTAAATTACTAATTAATTGTTAATATAAACTAGGGTTGTGCGAGGTCGAGGTTTTTCGAAATAAAGAGATCGAGGATCACCGAGACTGAAAAACCGAGTATCTAGGTCGGGGGTTGAATTAGGCGAGGTCGAGGTTCGAAGATACCGAGATTTTTAAAAAAATTTAATTAAATTTGCTAAATTTTTATCTGATATTTGCTGAATAATTTTAAATTAATAATTTCCATCATATTCAGACCTGTAGGGAACCAATATTATATTCTTGGTCAAATAATTTCAAAGTTTTGATAAAAATTTTTCGAATACTTTCTAATAGAAATTTGCTCTCTATTAGAAGCACCCCTTAAGAGAAAATTAAAAAAGGCACAGTCTCTCTCCATCTCACCTTCATATATAGTAGAGCTGTACGGTATCCTCACCCTGGGCCCTATTTCAATTGACCGCAGATTCTGCATTCTGTGACAGAACACAGTAGTGATGCTCGGGTATCCCGATCCCGACTCCCGACTCGGGAAAATTTCCCGAGTTTTTGGCCTCCCGATCCCGATCCCGACTCCCGGTGTTAATTCCCGATTAAGTCGGGAAATTTTTACACCCCTAAGAATGGATTTTTCTGACAAAATTATATTTTCATTTATAAAAAATGAAGAAATCTGGCCTCTTGGTCTCCTAAAATTCCCAAAATTTTCGCCTGCGGCGCTGAAAAGGGAAGATTTTTGGCTTAAGGATCTTCCAAATTCCTCAAAATTTTCGCTTGCGGCGCTGAAAACAGAAGAATCTGTGGAGTTTTAGTATAGAAGATTTCGGTGATTTACTAGGATTATGGTGAATTTGAAGAGACAACGAAGGATTTGCAGTAATAAAGAGAGATATCAATGGATGATTAATGTTGCACAGGGGGTGTTAATACTATAGAGGGATATGAAGAGATATGTGGCTAGTTCACCAAAATTCCACCAAAATTGAACGTAAAAATATTTTTCTCTGTTTCACTCTCTTTTCCTCTATTTCATTCCAACGGAGAGATTCTAAGGACTTAAGGTCAATGGCAACAATTATAAATCAAAGCTGGGCTCTGGCTCAAAGAAAAAGCCCCCAGCAATACCCAACACTGATTATCTCTGCGGTTACTAGGTTTTTTGGACAGGCTGTTGGCTTATCTTTCCAAATAATTGGTGAAATAAACTCTTAAGTTACCCTTAAAGATCGTTCACTATAGAGGGATATGAAGAGATATTTCACTCCAATGAGAGTCAAAATTTTTGGCTGCCAAAAAATGGAAGAAATCTAACTTCAAGACCTAAAAATTCTCAAAATTTTCGCCTGCGGCGCTAGTAAGGCTTCTTTACCTTCCAAAATTTTCAATATTTTTGCCTATGGTGCAAAAAATCGGAATTTTTGGCGCCGAAGGCGCCAAAAATTTTTTTATTGCTAATTCCCGACTCCCGATCCCGACTCCCGAGGTCATTTCCCGACCCGACTCCCGTTTCCCGATTCCCGGGTTTTTTCTTCTCCCGAGCATCACTAGAACACAGCATATTCACGATGACAAAGAAGTAACCGGGCACATTACCTCCTTAGTGTTTTTTGTCACCCTGTACGTCTTCCGATCCAGAAATAATCCACAGAACGCAAAAAACCAAGACTATTGAGACATAGAAATCATGAGCGGAAGCGATTGGAATGAGCGATAAAGTGTAAAGCTTTAAAAAATTAATTCATGAAAATGTTTTAATAAAATGGAAAAATAAAAATGAAATAATAATTAATAAAATTAATAATTTTATATTTTATTTTCCCCATTTCCCTTGTTTCCACAAGATTCCATTAAAAATTCGAAGTAAATAAATTTTCCCAATAGATATCCCCATTTAATTCTTCTTTTAAATCTTCATCTTTCCCTTCTCTTCATTTTCAAATCAAATAGAAGTTAGGTTTAAAAATTGAGTTAAAATATACAATGCCCTTTCAGGTGCCTGTAGGAAATGGTCCTATAATTTCGGGACTCCTAATTAATTAATACAACGTTTAATAATTTATTTATTTCGCAATGAAAACTACAATTAATTTAACAAGGGAAAAAGCATAATATTTTTATAATAAAAGGGACAGATTGTGATCCAAAGAGAGCTTAATGACCGCTGAGATAGATTAAACGGGGGAAAAGCCAGCTATTTTTATAGCGGTTGATTTACAGGAAAGTATTTTGTAATAAGTTTGTATGAGAAAGTGAATAAAGAATTTCAGTGATTAACAGATTTCGTAATTTCATAAGTTTAATTAAATGAGTAATTCGCAGGATGCGACACTCCCGCGGCAAACATTGAGTGAATGGGTTGGATATTGAATAATGGGAGATAACAAAATATTGGCTGGATGTTGAATAAACGGAGAAGATTAGGAATGGGCCAATTTGGGTTTACATTGTTATAAGTAGTTATAATGCTTGGCAAAATAGGGGGGACCGTAAATTTAATTGAGTTTAATCGTGGAATGTGTGAAATATTTCTTTTCTTAAATTTCTTATTCTTCTGTAATTTTGACAATTGATTTTTTGTTATGGAGGAGGCTGGAAGGCGTTCAACACAGCCAGAAGGGAGAACTCGAACACGACTGATTGGGAATTTGATTGGAGAGCTGGGGGGAGGCGGTGGAGGATCCAAAATCATTTTCAGTTTCGAAGGAGCATGCGGTTGTGGCTTTGTAGTCGGAATATTTTGTGTTTGATGTTTGTCAGTAGCAACAGGCGGGGAAGTGGGTAGATCATGAGAGTCCAATTCTGTTGTGGGGGAAGTCGGACGTGGAGATTTGTCTGATGGAACATCACCTGGGGGGCCTGAAGATTTAATTAGTCCTTTTCTTCTAGGCACATTATCTGTGGGAACTGAAATTTTTATTTCTAACTTATTATTTTCAATGGTCTTCAGTGGACCGTGTTTTTGATTAATTATATTTGGAGGAATGGGACTCATGGGATTTTTAATAGGATCGGGGCTAAGTAATTGATTTTGATTGTCGTCTATTTTTGGGCAAATTTTAATTGAGCTATAGATTAATCGTGACTCTTCGGGCATTAAGGATTTACTTTCGCCTTTTTTTTTTTTGGCCTGATTTGGTTTCGGTTTTTGAGGAATTATTAAAGGACTTGGCGGTATAAAATTTATCCGGCAATTTTATTAACGATAAAGGGATTGGAGCTATAGGTGGGGGTGTAATTGGCATTATTTGTGAGTGATTAATTGTATGTTGCTTGGGAATTTCTTGTGGGGATATAATGGTTTCTTCATTATAATCTTCATCTATACAGGGTTCATTAATTTGTGGATTAAATAATTTCGAGCAAAGTGCTCTGGGATGTAAGTTATTACAATGGGAACAAGTAATTGGTCTTTGACAACTCCTCGAAATATGGTTGGGCTTATAACAATTAAAACATAAATTTTTCTCATATAAGCGGGATTTTCGAGAATGGATTGAATTATAGTTAGAGCAATGGTGGGATAAATGGTCGGGTTGGTTACAGAAAATACAGGGGAATCTAAACCTCCCTGTTTTATTGTTTTGTTGAGATGTATGAAATGTTAGGGAGGATTGTGGTGTGTTAGGTGGGCTAGTCTGTCTAACGGGTCGGGGTGATTTTGGAGTACAAGGGTGACTTATCTGCTCGTTTAGCTCATTCTTTTGGTCGTCTAGAGCTTTTATTCCTTCCTTTCTTTTCAGTATTTGTTTTAATGTTGTCCGTAATTGATCGGTCTGCCAGTTTGCTCCATTTTCTTCCTTAGCTTTAAATATTTCTTCAAGAATAGGAGGTGGGAGTTTCGATTCTAATTCCATTTGGATGGAAAGCGTGTTGATATCAAATTCCTGTTCAATCATTTGTAAATATAATAATTCAAATTTGTCTACGAATGATCGTAGTTCCATACAAAGATTTTCGGGACCATTATTTGAATGTACTGTAGGCAATTTTCTTATTGAATGGAGAAGGGTCCTATTTATTTCATCGGAATTTCCATAATTTTCTCTTAGAAGTCGGATTGCCTCATGATAAGAAGCATTGGTTAAAGGAAGGGATTTTATCAGTAAATATGCGGGTCCATCTAAACATTCCTTGAGATAATTAAATTTAACGGCATCGGAAAGATCTGGAATGTCGTGGACACCAACTTTAAATGAGTTCCAAAAGGAAGTGAATTCAACACATTTTCCGCTAAATTTGGGGAGTGAGAGCTTCGGGAGATGGAAATGTGTATTTGTAATTTGGGAGGGGTCGGGAAGAGCTTCTGTTAATTTAGCTTTTTCGGAAAGGAGTTTACGGGAATATCTTTTTAAATCTCTGAGTATATTAAGGAATGGGGTTTCTGTAGTAAATGCTTCATATATGGGGGTGTCTGCTTGGCGCTCTGCACCTGTCATACTTGTTCGGACGGTCAACCATCTTTCATGGGCTGTGGTTATATCTGTGATTGTTTCTGAAACATTCCCTAATTCTAATTCGAGGGATGTAATGAGAGAGCGAATATTTGATCTATGGAGTGAAATGCTACCCGTTTGAATGGGGAGATTAAATTCTTTTTTATTATTTAAAATTTCGGTAGCGTCCTCGGCGAGGAGCCGCAATGCATTGCGGAAAGGTGCTGACATTTTTCGGGTTTTCGAACCGGCTGAGCTGTAGGAAATGGTCCTATAATTTCGGGACTCCTAATTAATTAATACAACGTTTAATAATTTATTTATTTCGCAATGAAAACTACAATTAATTTAACAAGGGAAAAAGCATAATATTTTTATAATAAAAGGGACAGATTGTGATCCAAAGAGAGCTTAATGACCGCTGAGATAGATTAAACGGGGGAAAAGCCAGCTATTTTTATAGCGGTTGATTTACAGGAAAGTATTTTGTAATAAGTTTGTGTGAGAAAGTGAATAAAGAATTTCAGTGATTAACAGATTTCGTAATTTCATAAGTTTAATTAAATGAGTAATTCGCAGGATGCGACATGCCCATTCCGGGAGCTAAATATTAAAAATAAAAAAAATTTTAATTTATTCCTCAGATTAATTAAGAAAATTAATTCCTTACCATGTGTCCAACACCTCTAACTGAAAAATTAAATAAATTATTCTTATTAGATCTTAAATGTCTTTATCCCAAATAATGCCAGATTATGGATGTTCCCTATAAATATTTGTCCCTTTTATGTCAAATTTCGCCGTTTTTAGAAATTCTGCACCAGCTTATATTCCGATTCATTACATAACGACTTGTATAATCTGTTTGACATATGGGGATAGACTACGATCTAAAGCATAGCCTGGCCACTGATTAAGCGACACCCCTATTCGTGATACGCCGTTACCTGTTAATAAAGTAAATCCATCATATTCAGTAGCAGTACCCCCAATTTGTTTTTCAAAGAACCAGGGATATTTTGGTTTTAATAACTAAAATATTTAATTATAATTTAAGATCTGGAAAAACTTTAATTCCAAGCTGATCAGCAAATCTTTCGCCTAACAAAAAATTACAAACAATATCCGTATCTCCATAATATGCCAATACTGGGACTTTCGCTTTTATTATATTCTTCATGAATTTTAACATATTATCTATAGAATTTTTAGAATTTAGTAATACTCATAATTGTAATTTTATCTTTTAGATGATTAATGGAAACCGGATAAAATATTTTCATGTCTTTCCATTCAGATATATCTCAAATCTAGTCTTTATTCATAACCACTAATTAAAATTCGGGCAAACATTATAAACTTTCTTACTTAGTTATAAACCCCGCCTACTCATTTACCTTTCTTATTATTCGAAAAATCTTATTAGTTAACTTTTGATAAAAGGTGTTTTAAAAGATAATAATAAAGTTATTTTTACCATATTGTTCATCATATTTAAAATCATTACATTCATACCAAGTAATATTATTTAAACTTTTTGGAATATTTAACGTTTCGCGTACTTTGAATAAATTATAATTATTTTAATTAAATTATTTAACAAAAAACCTTTAGGTAAATTCATATAATTTGTTAAAATATTTGCTTTAAATTATAAAAATTAAACGAAATTTTATATTTAAATATACCATCAACACATGGAATTATTGCTGGGTCATACCTCTCATCTTCCGATTGAGTTTTTAAATTTTCGAATTTATTTTCCTAAATTAAAATATATAATGGATACAGTATTTATTCGATTGGGTAATTCCGAATAATTCCCCGTCCCACGGATAAATTGAAATATTAATTCCCAGGTGATTAATAATTAATCGAGTAAGGTGATTAATCGAGTATCTTTCTGGCAATAATTTAATTATTTAATTGGCATTTCTGCACTTCCATATTTTTTAGTTGATTGTTAAACTTTCAGAGGTGATAAACTTCTGTATAGCCCTAGACTTGCTTTAATTTCTCATATTTTTGATAACTAACATAACTTATTGTCCTAGTTATTGGGACTATAATCATTTGGCCCCTAGTGTTGAGAGATTTTATCAGTCTCTCAGTGAAGCATTAGATATACTTTAGGGATGGGTTGTATTTTTGTGGACTTCGCTGAACAGTATACCCGGCTCATCCTTGTCACAGAACCCAATAAAACATACTTCAAGTAAAAGACTCCCCAGTGTTTTTAACATAAAAGGTGTTCGAGAAAACAATCTAAGCAATTTATTGTTTGCTAAGGATTGTGATGATTTTGTTGACATCCCTGTAAATTTTGTTTAATCTTTTAAAAATTTGCAAAATATATTCACCACAGTTAAGATAAATATTATAACCATTGGATATACAATCAGAAAATTGATTAAAAATCGCAACAGTCTGAATATAAAAATATTTTTTTATAAATTTTAAACCAACATGATTATAACATGTTGTATTTCTGTTAATAACATATGCCCAAATGTCACAAGTATCTAAATATTTGTTCAATTTTTAGTAAAAATATTTTTTAATTTTTAAATTGTGAGGAAGGTAGAGTTCAGCGGGATCGGGATCCCGGTCGGGATCGGGCGGGATTACCCCGGGTTTTTCGAATCGAAAGCCTTCCAAACTTCTCGAAATTAAAATGAAGAAATTTGGCTTCTTGGCCTTAGGGGCTTTTATGGATATCGGAGGATTAACCTCAAATTAGCTCGATATCCCTATTAATCACCAAATATCAGTGGATTTAAGTGAAAAGTTGGATTTGGAGAGAATATTGGAAGATTGTGGATATTAGTAGATAGGAAGGCTTGCGAATGATCATCCATAATCAGTTCACGCCCATAACTGACCATACTGAGGAACGCTTTATCAATTACTCTCACAAATCCAAATCCCCTTTGTCATCGATCCATCCTAATTCAAAGGGAACCTCGGACCCACGCCTTCATTCTCACTAAATTAAAAAATAACTTTATATACATACCAATACATCCATTACAGCATTCTTTACTATAAGATTGCCATAATCCTTCATCTACAAAGGCATGACCGCGAGCATAAATTAGCATTGTATTAATATTTAAAGTTCGACTTAAATATCCGTTTCCAATTAACACCCCCTTTTTTGAATTAAATATTTAAAATTAAACAATCCTCATTTTACTTTCAAATTTATTGGATAATTTTTTTGTCCATTAATAATAACATTAGCCAACATTGGCAAATAGACGCCAGCATAAGATTCACCACTTATGATTGTTGGGCGTCCTTTAAAGTCAGGAAATTTGTTGAAAAATTGTTTTAAAGCTTCATAGTTGTAATTTGCTGTCTTTAAATAAAAGTTATTAAGATAGAGATCCAGCTGGCTAGCATTTAAAACGATTATTAGACACGGGTTTAAAATATAATGAATAAGCCCTGTTCCCTTATTACCAAAAAAAACACATAAGACAACTGTAAAGATGTCGGAGGACATCCTGCATCTACATACATATACTTATAGATGGATCGTCCTTGTATGGGAATTAAAATATTCTTTAATCCTCTGCTCTAGCTTTTTATTAATAGTATATTTCAGTGCTGTGTATGGCTCCGAGTTGCTCGGCATTTGTATTTTTTAGATACCAGTGTATCTAATAATGTGTTAACTAAAAGTGAGTGTCATACCAGTGATACTTCTCGATTTGAGGAATCTAAAAGGAAGACCCATTCCTGGAGACCATTTTAAAAATATTTATTTATATAGACCCATTCTAAAAATATTTATTTATATACTTCATCATCATTTGTAGTAAGATTTCCATCAGTTGAATAAGAATATCCAACCCCTGCAGGGGATTCAAGAAACAAAACATTAGCATTGTTGTTCCAAGAATAAGGATTTCTAATTAACTTAGAACCATCCTCTGAAAGTAAATAAGGCCCTAATTCGGTAAATAGACCAAGAAGTGAAGAACATCCAGGGCCGCCATTTAACCATAAGACCTTTTGTTGAAAATTTAAATAAAATTAAAAAATTTGAAAATGGTACTCTTGGGAATATAAAATCAGATAAGGGATATTGGAGCTTGAGGAATTAAAAGGAATATCATGGAATTTGTGTCACAGTTAATCCCGACCCCAAAACTTCCGATATTTTCTTACTCACTACTAAAAGCTTACTACATATAATTTATAAAATAAAATTTACCAAAGGATCCTTGTCCGGGTTATTTTGTGATTTTGTGAAAACATAATGGAGGAATTTAGTTTTTGAGACTTGAAGATAACCTTTAAAATAATTAATTAAAACAGTCAGACTTCTCTATAGGATTCACCCAATACTAAAACACCTCTATTTAAGATAGGTATATGTAAAGTGCGGCCAAAAGGGGCAGAAAACTAGCCGCACTTTTCTTGAAACCAGGGTGAGAAGTGAATTAATTGGGTTGGGAAGCTAACTAGGTAGTCGAAGCCCCCCCCCCCTCCACTATTAATTTAAAATACCCGAATAATGTTTAAAATTAATATTAAAATTTTGTTTAGGAAATCTTTGAGTAATTTCGTCATCTTTCCCATTTTTATTTATTATTTGCCCCAAAATTAAATTAAAGCAAAGGAATATTAAAATTGAGAATATTTTAATTTTAAATAAATTCATTTTATTTTTTATTGAAAAAATAATGAGTTAATTTGGCAGGTAGATTTGGCCGGCTTTTTATTTGGCAACTTTTTCAATTGCAAAAAAATTTTTTTTGTAGTTTATTTGCTTCTGAGTTTTTGCAAAAAAAAGGTTTAAGAGCATTTTTTAAAACGAGAGTTTCTATTTTTTAGATAAATAAAATTTACCAAAAAATTATTTTTAGCGAATCAATTATGGAAAAATAAACTTAATCTCTGACTTTATTCAAATGCATACCAGAAAGTACTTTTTTGATTAATTTAGAATAATTTTTTTATTAGATTAGCTGGAATATTCAATAAGGATAATAAAAAATATTTTTTTGGGGTTTTTTAAATTAAAAATATTAATTTTAATTTCTTCAATACCTCGCATACTTTCAGTAAAAATAACAGGCAAATAAAGACGAATATCTTTCAGACTTTCAAATCTCAAAATAAGATTTATTTGATTGAAATCTGATAACTGATTAAAGACTATTAATAACACATTTTTTAATATATCCACACAATAATAGGTATTCAAATAATTCTCTGGCCAAATTAATCAAATTGGGCCAGTCGAAATGGGAATTAGATTTGACATTGTAAAATTTGGTCCAAAATCACATATTGACATATTTTGTTTGAACTCAGATCTATTAAAAGGAAAAACTATAAAACTATCAAATTAACAAATATTTAGAACCTTTAGGAGAGGAGTTAAGTCTGGAAAGAATTACCGAACAGTAGAATCCTAATCAGTTGGTAGAACCTCAATTCTTGCCGGATGATATAAGGTTTTTTGACTCCTTCCTTCCTGTAGGCTTCTCCAATTTTTCCTCTTTAATAAAAGATTACATAATTATTAGACATTCAACGTTTATCCTTTTCATGTCTACATACATATATTCTTTGTTTAATTCATATGAATTTACACATATGTGAATGCACTTTATGTATGAATATGTTATTGATAAGCATTATTTCATAACCATTTCATAATGCATATAAGGCCATTTTCCTTTTAACCTCCTTTCTATGTATTAATTTTCTATAATAATTAATAAAAAAGAATAACTTTTTAATATTTTCCTTTGTTATAGCTGATCCTTATCCTTATATTGCTTTGGGTTTATCTTATAGTCCGACCCTTATAGTCCGATCAAGAATCGATCGAAGGTTCGAGTTCTGATTTCCGATGTCATAAATGAAAGTGTCGTATCAGGAGGATGTCCTGCAAATTAGACCCGATTTTATTTGTTTAACAAGCAATGTTTTGTAATAAGTAGCCTTAGGATATAATGACCAAAATATATAATAAAATTCTTGGAAAGTCGAAAACAGCGAATTCATTTTCTCCCTATGATAATCTCACAGCATCTTAACCTGTAACTTTAGGCTGTTTCAGCGGTACTGAAGTAGGCGCGCTAACCACTAAGCCATATTCCCGCACTAAATCTTAATTGTTATCTGTGTAATCTTAATTGTTATCGAAATATTATTTTAAAGTTAGTCACTTTCTTATGTAAATTCACGTGATTTACCTAAAACTATTTTAAAAAATATTTGTTTTTGTCTAACATGACATAATACTTATAGTAAGTAAATGATATTTCATAATGCACTTTAAGCAGTCAATTTATTTCTCTTTTAATTTTTTTAATTCTCTAAATATTTTTGAATTAATAAATTCATTTAACAGTTAATAAATTTATTCCTTTACTTTATAAAACAGTGCTAACGTGTAAAATTCCTCAAAGATTCTACAACATTATTCTCAAAATATAGGACACTTGTTGGATATGGCTCCGGGTGCTAGTTCTGAATCGCGCTAAGAATGAAAAAGGTCGTAGATGGATCCTCAAAACACCCAATTATCCAGCACTAATCATGACCAAACACAAACATTATAACAAAAAAATAAAATATTGATAGTGTAAAGCATATAGCTATTTAATTTCCTAAGGCTATGCAGTAGGCGACGTGGTGTAATGGCTACACATTAGTCCGGTCTACTAAAAATTCTGGTTCGCAACCAGCCGCCGATTAACCTTTACACTAGCTAAAGGAGAGAAATTACTATAGCCCAGCTTCTTTACTATAGTATGTATGTATATTTTCGGCCCGTTGAAGGTTAGAAAAAAATATAATAATAATAATAAAATAAATTTTAGATTAAATAAAATGAAAATAAAGCAAACTTTATTTTTAATAATTTTATTAATTTTATTAATCAAAAAAAGCAAACAAGTAAATCCTAACGAAGGAGCTGTTGTAGAAACAAAAGAATATGAAGAAATGACTACAATAGCTAACGATTATTTAGAATTTATTAAAAATTTTGAAGAGGGAAATAAAGAATTGATAAAGGATTTTTTAATTAAAATAATTTCAAAATTTTATAATTATTTTATTGGAATTTTTAGAATAAATGACTCTGCCAATTTAATTTATAAAAATTTTGTTGGAACTGAAGAAGGATGGAATGTATTGTTTGGAAATGTTTTTAATGAATATGTTAATAAAGCAAAAATGTTAGAAAATAAATTGGATAGTTTGGAAGATGAAAAAATAAAATTTTGTGAATTACACAATTTTATTAATTTATTTGTTAAGGATAAAGAGCTTTTGAAGAATAATGTTTGGAGAGAAAAATTAGTGTCGATGAAGGAATTTGCACAAGAAGTAAATTTTTGTTATTGAATGGCTGTATAAAGTACAGGGTGCGGCAAATTTTGCGCCACTTTTGTTTTTGCCATAACTTTCTTCAATGTCGATGAAAATTGCTAATTCTTTTTTTATTTTATTCCCAACACTCTAAGCAAATTTTTGATATCAAAAAATAGAAATTTAGTTCAACGGTAATAAAGATATACCCGTCTAAAGTTCGAATCGCATCAAAAAATATTTTTTCATGCCAAAGTTTACTTAACTGTAACTTCGCTCAAAGTCATCCAATCTGACCAATTTTGGTACCAATCGACTCGTCTCGACGAGGAGCATCGAAATAGTCTATAATTTCATTTTTGAAAATTTTACCTCAAAAAGTGAAATTTGGCATTTTGTTCCTAATTTGTCATTCGAAGACCCATATCTCAGCTCATAAACAAGATAATTGCTTTATTTTGACGTCATTCGAATCAGCTTAAAAAGCTTATTCGAATGATATAAACTTCTCACATATCAAACACATATTCTTTAAATCAGACGACTTTTGGTCCAAAAAATTTTACCAAAATTTTAAGAAAAAACGATCAAATTAATTTCTAAAATTTAAAGAATATTTTGGTACCAAAAAATTGCTTAGAGTGTTGGGAATAAAATAAAAAAAGAATTAGCCATTTTCATTGACAATGAAGAAAATTATGGCAAAAATAAAAGTGGCGCAAAATTTGCCGCACTCTGTAGAATTCAGAGGTGTCGTGATTTAAACAAAAAATCGTGATCGGGATTTTGGAAACCCCCGATGAACTCTAGTATAAACTAGAATTTCTATATAGCTTGCCCCTCAGGAACAGATTTTGTCGATGTTAGAAGGGAAACAACTAGAGAGTGGACATCGTACCAGTCAAAAGATGTGCCCTCTGATAACTAATTGAACGAAGATTAGAAAAGAAGTGACTCGGAAGGTCACTGGGTAGAAAGGAGTGAGTCACCCTCTAGATCCTCTAGACTAATCCTCTAGACGGAGCATTAGTCTTAATTTTATTTTAATTCTCAACAAAAACAAATTTTTTAATTTCAAATAAATTTAGGATGAAAATTCATCCAATCAAAATATTAACTGCCAAAATGAGCAAGAAATTGAATTAATTATTGAAGAATATCTTTTACCATCTCGCATCAGACAATTTAATTTTATAAATTTGAGTAACATAAAAATGTTGTTAGACGCAAAAATTTTTGAGTTTTACAATTTTGTTGAAAATGAGGATTTAAACAAGGGAGCATTTTTGGCTTTACTTGGACCCGAATTGCTTGCCCAGTTAGAAGAATTATATCCGAAGTTGATGATGATAGGTAGGTTTCTTTTAAAAATAGCAAACATCCCATTTTTAATTTTGAAATATGTGTATGATAGAGTAAAGTCAGATAGTGGTTATCGGGATTATTTTAGTTTTTATTTGTTACAGATGTAGTTTTCTGCGATTAAAACTTGTCTAGTAACATGTCTAGCACATAAAAAATTAAATTTCTTTAAAAATAATTTTACGATAATTAAAAATTCAAAAATAAACCTCGCTGTTTGGGGTGGTTTGGACTTTAGTAAACATCGTTATCTGGCCTCACAAGATAACCATGGGATATTAGGCACTTATTAAAATGTTTTTTTGGGTATGGACGAGAATTGGTTTTTAATGCTTAAGGAAAATCAGAATAAGGCAGTACTCCTAGCACATATCTAAAGAACCACTATCGGATTTGACTATATTTACTAGAGTAAGTCGAGTACCGAGTAATAGGGAAAAAACCGAGCTCGAGTAATCCGAGTTTGAAAAACCCGAGTTCGAGCTCGAGCTCAACTTTTTAGGCCGAGTTCGAGTTCGAGTAGTCGAGTAATCGAGTAATTTTTATAAAACAGTATTTTAAAATAATTTCAATAAAAACAATGCTTTTACTAAAGACAATTCATCATTAGTGCTGTGTTTTGGGCATTTGTTGGAAGTAATGCGTTAGATCATCATCCAAATCCCTGTTATTTTCGTTAATCCGTCTATATCCCTCTAATCCGCCGAAATTCCATGATGTGCACACGATCCATGTTGAATCCGGGACCCGGGTTGAAAATCAATGGATAATATTATTTCGGGGATTCGTGTAGATTAAGGGGATATCGAGTGATAAGAGGAATGAGATGGATATCAAGGGATTAAGCGGGATTTGGGCCGATTATAGTGAGATTTGGGTATATTGGGAGCAAAATCTTGGAAATTCGTAAGATTAATTGGGTTGCGGTTGCTCTAACCGTTGCTCTATCCCTCTCTTTTCGCGCCGCTGGGTTAAATTTTGCGAATTTCTGAAGGCCAAGTGGGCACAACCAATTTTCAGAAGGCCAGATCCCTCGCTATTCTTTTAGATCCCTTGAAATATTGAAATATCACTAAAATTACCTACTTGATTCAATCCAATGATATAATCCTCCTTTTTCAGCGCCGCAGGCGAAAATTTTAAGAATTTTGGAAGGTCAGAGAGCAAATTTTCTTCCTTTTTTAGCGCCGCAGGCGAAAATTTTGAGATATTTGAAGACCAAGAAACTAGATTTCTTCTTTTTACAGCGCCGCAGGCGAAAATTTTGAGAATTTGGAAGATCCTTTAGCTAAAAATCTTCCCTTTTGCGCCGCAGATAGGGGCATAAAAATACTCGGTTTTAACCGAGTCTGTCGAGTAGGAAGTTTCCGAGCTCGAGTAATCCGAGTATTATGATCCCGAGTTCCGAGTCGAGTAATTACGCAAAAAACCCGAGCGGTCGAGTCGAGTAACTCGAACTCGCTCGAACTCGACTTACTCTAATATTTACATAATTACAGAAAATTTTCACCCTGAAGTTCTTTTGTATCTTTACAAGGAAGTATTTTTATTAAATGAAGAAGAAAGTTATGAATATGAATTAAGCAAGAAAATAAATTTAATGAAAGAATTACGTCTACAAATTACTGTATTGTTGATAAAAAATATTTATCTTGAAAGCCTTATTCCAGAAAATGAAAACAAGGAAAATATAAAATACTTGACGGCTTTAAATTTTTTGAGAGAAAAATTCGAAGGAAACAGGGAAAATGCTTATTTATGGTTAAAAACAAAGGAAGATAATTATTTATTTAATTTATATTATTTTGTGTCGTTTATGTTTTATAATACGGAAATATTGGAGAAAATAAAAACAAAAAATGATGTTAAATCATTATTAAGAGGATTAAAGCTTCATATCGAAGAACATAAAGAATTTAATATAAAAAGGGAAATTAGTAAATATTTAAGTTATGAACACGTTCCTCATTTAATAAAAGAATTAAAAAATAATGAGGAATTGAGGGAAAAAATTAAAAGGAAAAAATCTTCAAGATATATAATTTATAAATTCCTTGCAGAAATGGCGAATTTTAATCATTTTGTTGAAGAAATGGATCTGATAGATGAAGAAGGTTGGTCTAGAAATTTATTAGTTAAGTAATCCGAACTCCAAAGTATCTCGTGGACTGTATAGTAGTTATAAACAGTGTTTGGAAGCTCGTACCAAAATTCGTACTCGTACCTGTGTGCGAAGTACACGTACGGCCAAATTTCAAAATTTCAACCACTGGTTATAAAATCAAGCTGTTCAGAGTTAGTTTGGTGGGCTAAGCCGTTTGCTATTTAGTTATAAAATTCTATTATGAACCTTCATAGACTTACAATTACAATTTATTTGATTATAGTAAAGCAGCTGGGCTATAGCTATTTCTCTCCTTTAGCTAGTGCAAAAGATTATTCGGCGGCTGGGAGCGAACCAGCATCTTCAGTAGATCGGACTGAAGTGTTAGCCATTACAACACGCCGCCTACTGCTCAGCCTTAGGAAATTAATAGCTATATGCTTTACATTATTAATTGTAATAAATGGTTTCTGGGAGGTCTCGGAGTCCGAGAGTCAAAAAACACTAAATTACTCTATGATATTTTAATTAAAGTATATTATGGCAATGATCGTCTTAAAGAGCATTATATGAATGCTTTAATTAGTGATACTGATGATGAATATCTTCAAAAAATAAAAAAAATAAATGAGCTTGCAGCAAAACAACTTGTTTGGATTAAATATATGGAAGAAAAAATAAATCCTTTAGACGGAAAAGGAGAATGGAGAAGTTTGGAAAATAAAAAAGTTTTCTCCGAATTTTGGAAAGGAATAAAAATAACAAATATATTAATTTATGAAAAAGTTTTTGTTTTAATTTACGAGAATTTATTATCTAATGAGAATAATGTAAATTATTTTCTTGAAGAAACTATGAAAGGGTTGGATAATGAAATGAAAGTAACTGATGAGGAATATAAAACAGAGGTTTTTAAATTATATTTTATAATAAGTAGTAAATTATCATATCAAATAATAATACTTTTGAGCTTTAGGGGAATTTTAAATGCTTTTTCACTGGGTGACCGTAGTTCGTCTATATAATTCTGCAACTCATTTTAAATTGGAAAATGCACTACTATTTAGTGTTGTTATTAGAAACCAGAGGTGGGTCGGAATTCCGATTTCCGAAAAAAAATTTTGATTTCCGATTTCCGAGTTCCGACTTTTGAGCCAGTTCCAATTTCCGGCTCTTCCGATTTCCGACACCTCTGACTATTCCGACCCACCTCTCCCAGAAGCTATCTCAAGGCAAATAACTAAGTCGATAAAATTAGAATCTAGGTTATTTTAGATTTGTTAGACATTCAAGATCAGTGAAGGATCAAAAAATTTTTGCTGGAATTTCTTATAATAATTTTTAAATAAATTAATTTTAGAATAGAAAATACTTAAAAATGAAAATTAAAGAAGGAAAAATGATAAAAAATAACGATACTAGCTATACTGAAAGTCCTAAAAATTATGATGATGCAAAAACAATTAGTTTAATTGATTCGTGGGCAAAGTTTCGGAATGAAAGTGATAATAATGATATTAGAGAAACAACAAACAATTTTACAAAATGGCTTAAAAAGGAACATTTAAAAAATATAATTAAATTGCTGGAAAATGATGAAGAGTTTTTATATTCAATAAAGTCTTGTAAGTGTTTAAGTTAGATATGTATTTAAGATAAGGTAATTAGTTTGCTAATATGTACATATGTCTTGAGTGATAAGTTTAAGAATAGTGTGTTTTTACGCTGAACAGTTCTTGGATATAGTGGAGTGTACCGGTGGTAAAAGTTCGGGACGTAACATATGTCATTCGATTCCTCTCGACGAGCTGAGTCGAAAGGTACCACTCTCTACTTAAGGAAATAATTCTTGAACGAGTTATAGGTCACGGAAAATTGAAAAACCATAGGGGGGTGCCGCTTCGCTACGGTTGCGGCGACCGTAGCGAAGCGACGGCCGTCGTTCCGCTAGAAATGCCCGGCTTCCTCCGCTCGAAAAAACTTTTTTCCGCGTAGACCTTGTGGAAGGGGTAAAAACAAACGGTCATAACTTTGTCAAATCAAAATTTATAACGAAGCTATTCTGTGTGGTTATTAGAGAGGGGGCAAGTAATCGTCAAAAGTTAAAATCTCTCTTATTCAGTTTTAGACTTAAATAATTCAACAAAAAACAATCTTTTATCAATGATACCAGAAAATAGTATAGATGAAATTTATAGAATTTTAAATTTTAAAAATAAAGAGGAAAAAGAATGTACTATTTCAACATCTTCTGATAAAGATAGTTTAAATGAAAATGAAAATAAATTGAAAAAAGAATTAAATTCTAAAAGAAAAACAAAGAAAAATAAATCAAAAAAGAAAAATAAAAGGAAAAATAAATTAAGTTTGGATAAGAAAAATGAAGGTTCGTCAAAAATTTTCGAAAAATTTGAGGCAGAAAGGGAGGAAGAAGAGAAGGAAGAGAGAAATTTGGAAGAGGTTGTTAACGAGGAAGAGAGGAAAGTAATGAAGGGAAATATGGGAGAAAAGAAGGCAAAAGAAATCGAGGCAGAAGAAAAAGAAGAGGAGGAGAAGGAAATACAAAAGAAGCCAAAAGAAGAAGAAGAAGAAAAGGAAGAGTCTTCTTTAAATAATTTTAAAAAGGAAGAAATTGTAGAAATTAAAGATATTAAAGGAAAGATGCCTATTAGAATTGAGGAAGAACTTAAAGCAAATAAAGAATTGAGTTTAGATAACAAAATTAATTTTACCTCAAAACGTGAAGAATTTAAAAATGAAAATGTAAAGAACTCAGAAGAAGACGGCATTGAAATGAGGGTGAAGGAAGATGTGGAAAGTTCTACAAAAAATTTTATTAAACACGAGCATTTAGTCAAGGAATTTAAAGATGAAAAGGAAATAAAAATTGAAGAGAATATTAATAAAAACGTTCAAATAAATTTAAGGAAGAAAGAGGAGGAGGTAAAAGAGAAGAAGAAGGAAAAGGTGGAAGAAAAGAAAAAAGTAGGGGAGGTAAAGGAAAGGAAGGAAGAAGTAAAGGTTGGGGAAGATAAGGAAGAATGTGAGGTAAAAGAAGAAAAGAAGCCAAAGGAAAAAGAACAGAATGAAGAGGAAAAGGAAGAGAAGGAAGAAAAGAATGAAGAAAAGAAAGAGGAGGAAAGGAAGGAAACGAGGGAAGAAGAGAAGGAAGGAAGGGCGGGGACCAGAGCTGCACGAAAATAAAATTTCGCACTCAACGAAACTTAACGAAAAAAAAATAAATTCGTCAATGTACGAAACGAAAACGAAACGAAAAAATAATTTTTATTTTTGCGAAACGAAAGAAACGAAAAAAAATCAAAATTTTCACGAAACGAAACGAAACGAAACGAAAAAAAATCAAAATTATAAAAATGCCTAATTTATTAACTAATTCACCTCCAGAGCTTAATTTAGTTACAAAGATGCCTAATTTATTGTGGTGTTGATAATTTATTCGCGATGGTCTAACTATAGAACTGAAAAAATCAATGTTCAAATCGCTAGATCCCCTGAAATCCCTTCAAATCCCTAAATCCTATTTGATTATCCAAATTTTCTGATATTACAGATTTACGGAGTAAAAGTATATAGAGGAATTAGGCTGTATCCGGTCCGGCTCAGGTTACAAATCCGGGTCAAACAAAATCGATTGTTACTTCAATACTTCTTGCTCTACCGATGTCAAGCTCATATTCTACTATATACCCTCGATTTCCCCTATATCCCTCATGATCTCATTAAAACAATGGGACTGAACAGAGGTATATACATACGAGGGAGACCAGCCTTGATAAGATCCCACTATACCCTAAGATACCTTTGCTAATGCCTCGCTTTTCATCCATTTTTCAGCGCCTCAGGAGAAAATTTTGAGTTTGAGATGCCTAGATCGATTGTACTTAGAAGTAACAATCGATGTTACTTGTTACCTAGAAGCCAAAGTTCTTCCTTTTTCAGCGTCGCAGTCAGAAATTTTGAGAATTTTGGAAGGCCAAGAAGGCAGATTCCTTCTTTTTCAGCGCCGAAGGCAAAAATTTTTTAAATTTTCAGTCCCCGGGAGAAAAATTTACAATTTTTAACTTAAAAATACGACAAAATAGTAAAAAAATTGTCTAAAAATATTGAATATTTTTTCGTCATTTTCGTCTAAAAATGGCATGTTACGAAACGAAAATGAAACGAAAATATATTTTTAAAGAAATACGAAACGAAAGAAACGAAAAAAATTATTTTTTAACGAAACGCGAAACGAAACGAAAACCATCAAAAAATCCACGAAAATCTACGAAACACGAAACGAAACGAAAAATTTTCGTGCAGCTCTGGCGGGGACGAAGGAAGATGAAGAGGGAGAAGGAGGAAAGAAGGACGTTGAAAAAGAAGTAGAAATTTCAGCAAAAAATTTTAAAAACGAAGAAAATCTGGGGGAAAAATTAAAAATCGGAAAAGAAATAGAAAAGATAACAAACTTGGAGAATAATTTATTAAAATTTTTAGAGATAAACAAAGATAAGGAAATAATTAAAAAAGCAATTGAGGCACTAATTAAAATAATAAATAAATGGAAGTCTAAAAATGGGATTAAAGGCAAATTTAAAATTAGCGGGATTTACGAGTTTGGTATTTGGTTAATTGAAGATGTGGAAATTAATATTGTATTTAATGACCATTTAGTTTCGAAATATTTTGGGTCTGAAAAGTCAATTTGTGAACCTCTAATTTCGCTAAATTGTAAAGACAATTCCCTCTATTGTTTTTTGTGTAGAGAACAATTTAAAGATTTTGAGGTTTGGATATACTATTAAATTTTTTATTTTAATTGGAAAATATAAAAGTCCCTCTCGAATGGCTCTCGTTACTTTCCTAATTATTTTAAATTATTGGGTTAGTTATTGTGAACATGAAAAATTTTCGCCGAACCCTCGATTTTTTAGGAACATTAATGACTAGAGATCGGATCGAGAAAAGTCTCGAAAAAAATCTTGATATAGAGATCAGAGCTGCACGAAAATAAAATTTTGCCCTCAACAATTTTTGACTTAAAAATACAACAAAATAGAAAAAAATTGCCTAAAAGTATCGAATATTATTTTCGTCATTTTCGTCTAAAAATTGAGTTTACGAAAATGAAACGAAAATATTTTTTTAACGAAATACGAAACGAAAAAACGAAAAAAATATTTCACACCAAACACGAAACGAAACGAAAATCATCAAAAATCCGCGAAACGAAACGAAAATTTTCCTGCAGCTCTGGTCGAGACCAAATTTCGAAATATTTCTAAAATACCGTTTGAACATATTTTGATATTTTCGCAAAATCTAAAAGTGCATGTTTGGTTAGAGAATATCGCAGATTGAGATTGAAAGATCATAGTGAGACCTATCATGGTGTGATTAAGAGAGATATGTATATCATAAAAAAATCCGCTCAAATATCATAAAAATCCCCTGATATCCCTCTTATCAATCAAGATTTTAGAATATAAAAATAGATAAATAAATTATTTTTTATTAAGTTCACTTTCAAACATTTACAAAAACATACAAATAACACTCAAAAAATGATTGAATTAAATATTAAAGGAATTAAATTCACAATTGAAACAAATGAGAATTTATACAAACACGAAACAAATAATTTCATAAAAGAATTAATGGATATTAAAAATAATAATAAATTCACCACAGCCTTATTTATTTTAAATCGTTGGGCTAAAAGTATACAAAAAATTTTTAGAAAAAAATTAAGAAAATTTTTTCAGATAATTTTGTAAATCAAGAACGTTTTGGCTTTTTAGACCAATATTCAATTTCTATAATGTTAGCCAAAATAAAAATATTGTATCCGAATTTGTCTTTAGTTGAATTAATTGAATATTTCTTTTTGACTTATTTGGAATGGTTAGAAAACTATTTTTTTAATTTTAAAAATATATCCAAATCCGAAAAATTTTGTACAAAAATTTGAATTTAACAAGAGACTGAGGGTATGGGTTAATAAATATTAGGATTATACCATTAACGTTCAAGTGTGTGGGGTAGGGGGGGGAGTCGTGGGAAATGATAGAAAATCGTTCTATAATGGGTCAGGGTCAACATTGATGAGATTACCTAAGACCCGATCCAAAGGAAATTTTGAAAACCTCGACCCGAACTCAACCTGTCCCATCTCTGAGGTACAACTCTGGTTATTAGTATAATGGTAATTGTGGACTTAGTTATAAAATAAACATTTGGTAGCTTATAAATAAATTTTATAGGAATAAGTCAATCCCTGTTCAAATAAAAGAAAATCAAAAAGACAAAATAAATGAGGATAAAGGTATATTTATTGTCCTTTCCCCAACCAATCCAGAACAAATTTTGGCTAAACAAATAAATAAATCGACAACAAAAATAATCGAAAAAGCAATGCTTGATGGTTATTATATAAAAATTATTCAAAAATTTATTTTTAAAATTAATTTGACAGGTTTAAAAGAAGTTGGTGAAATTAGCCAATCTTCTGAAGAAATAACTACTTCTTAGAGTTGTACCCCGACCCCGTACCCCGAACCCCGACCCCGTTCCCGAACGATTTTTTCATGATTCTCCCCGACCCGAACCCCGCCCCGAAACATTTCGAAAACCCCGTACCCCGACCATAAAAGTTTCGGGGTTATCGGGGTTTTATACACCCAAAAAATGCCATTTTTGTGAGAATTTTAAGAGAAAAATTTTAAAAATTTCCTCACAATTTACTTTGCCTTTATTATTTTTGAAAGAAAAATGAATGAAATATCAAAATTTTCTTTCATTCTTAATTAAGAGACTTGTGGTTGAGTGGCTTAGTTGTTGGTTTTAGCCTATATTTCCATTAATATAGGATTGGGTTCGGATCCATATAAGGAGAACTCTTTTGTTTTTATATTTCTTTACAAAAACAAATTATTAACGAGTTAAATTTTAATTTTAAAATATTAATTTTATTTTTAACTGATATCCCTTGAACGACCCTTAATCCTTCAAACCCCTTGTATCACCAGTAAGGGGTTCCCAACCATAACAGTTGGAAAACTATCGAGGTCCTGTTAACGGGAATCAGAGATATAAAGGAATTTGTAGTATATCGAAGAATTAAGGAGTTATAAAGGGATTTAAAGGGATATAAGGTTTAGATTAAAATGGATTTGAAAGAATTACGTGAATTTAACGGAATTAAAAAGGAATTCGTGGGAGATCTAAGGATTAATCCAAGATATCTCCTGATATCCGTCCAAATACCCTTATCCGCAATACTTCAATATTCTTATTAATCACTGATATCCCTTGAAACAACAAAAATCACTCCAGATCACCTTGCACCCCTAGATATACCATTTAATCCCTAAAAATCCCGCTTAATCCCTCCATATCCACTTATATCCTAAGTTATACACTTTAATCCCTTCAAATCCCCTCTAATTTCTCCAAATCCTACTTAATTTTTGAATAAATTAGCGAAAATATAACGAGATCTGATTATTTTTGAGCATTTTTTTCTCTAAAAATTTTTTCCCTAAAACCCCGTACCCCGACCCGAACCCCGGTCATATTTTGCTCCCCCGACCCGAACCCCGCCCCGAAACAATTGGAAAACCCCGTACCCCGACATACCCGCCCCCGAACGTTCGGGGTACAACCCTACTACTTCTTGGAAAAAATTTTTGGAGCCAAAGAAATTTTCAGAAATGGTTTTTAAATTTAGATAAACTTGGGCCTCATTTTTAATTATCCCCTTGTAGCTTGTAATGTGGTTTGACTC